TATTCAATCTAATTGTTTATTTAGCTACAGCCTCCAATGTTTACTCAGAAGGCTATTCCGGGGCATACTGATTTTTTTTTTGGACTGGCTGAAATGTTACATATTTATTAGGCATTCGAAGGGTAAAAAAATGTTTGGAAATTCCAGACTGTTCCCTCACATAGAAATATAACCCTTTCCCAAGCCAACATGCCTAAATTAGGGTATGTTTAGAAGAGGTAAGGAGGGGAGAACATAGTTATTTACTGAAGAGCACATAATGTCTTTCACTTGAAAATCCACATGAAAGGAGGAAAAAATCCTCTAAAGCTATATGGAAAAGCTATGTATTAGCATATATTGTGCCGTAGACTCCCTTTGGATAGGAGCATAAATGATTGTATAAAAGCACACGTCAAAGTTGCCTAGCAGAGCACAACAGTACATATAAATATGTACAGGTCCATCAAATAAGGCCTCAGTCCTGTAAATCACTTCAGCATGTGAAGTGCTTAACTGACTCCTTGTGCTTGAAGATAAAAATGTGTTGAAGAGTTTTGCCAGATTGGGGCCGCCATGCCCAGCACCCTGCAGGATTGAGCCGTGCATCTCATGCAATCCATAGTGAAATCCACACATCAACCCTGGTTTCAAATAGTCCCTGGGTGCCTATACAGCTACTCCACACTTATATTCTCTGCTGACAAGATGCATAAGCTATCGAGCACCAGTTGCTGCTACCAAAGACAGATCAAATGTGCAGCATGGAAGGTTGTTGAGTTTCCAGGGTGTGTACTTTGGCTTTCCTTCCTGTCCTCTCCTTCTCTGACTCCTCCTCTCTTCCCATGGACCAGACTTGTGTAGAATAAGTCAATTTGCAAATAATCTTTAATAACTTTTTATGTTAACAGATTTTCCTCTAAGCTAGCCTGTGTCTTGAGACTATTGAGTACAGGGGGAGCCCAATATATCCTTACTTAAGGACCAGTCCTATTAGGAGATGAGAATCTTCACAGATGTGTTGGATACCCTCAACTCTCGCTGACTTTCAGAGGCACGTAGCACCTCACAGAATCTGGCTCTATTCTGAGCACAGCTCCCATTGATTTCAATGGAGGGTGCACCTGTGTTAGCAAAAGAATTGAGTCCAGGTTCATCATTGTGCTCCGGCTGCATTGCACCACTTTAGTGAAACAAAGCAGCTATAATCACGGGTTAGCCAGCCAGCTAAGCTAGGTTTATGGCTTTGGATCACTGGACCAACACACACCAACCACAGCACACTGATGAATCTGGTCCCTGATGACTGAAGTCTTAACACTAAGCTGTTCTTGAGTTACAGGTAAACAAGAGAAATTAGCTACTAGTTTTAAAAAAATCTGGCCTGTAACTTTAACATGGCTGGAGGAAGAAAATAAAGGTTTCTTCTGGATGCGGCATGTACATTTTCGAGACAATCTAATTATCATGATTATCATGCCAAAGTCAGAGTGGGTTAAACAGAATTTAGAATGGAACGTTGACCTCTGAATTAGCTGTGGAGCTGCTAATACACAGCTCCATGGCAGGAATATGAGGAAGACCAGGAAGCAAGTCAGGAGACAGTTATAAAGATATATGTGTTCCCGGTCAGGCCTGCTTCTTTTTACAAATGAAGCAGGTTTTTCAGATCGTGATTTATCTGAGATTTAGAAAAACGTGCTGAGGCAATCATGCTGTTTCTGTAATTAAGCTCTAATAAATAATAATAATAACAACAAGACTTTGTACTAGAGCCAAGAAAAATCTCTGGAACACGGACTTCTACTCTGTCATCAAGTAAAATAAGAAATAGACTCAAACTCAAGCAAATGGACAAAAAGTATTTCTGTCAGCAAGGAGACATAAGCGCTGACAGCAAATTGCATGAGCACTTTTAGTTCAGAGGCGGTTAGGATGGCTCTTGGACCATCTTCTTTGTGTATATTCTTGTTAGGTCCATATAACTGAATGGCCCAAAAGTCGTCATTAATAATTTTAAGTTTTTCAACTCCTTCTGCAAAGCCCCATGTAAATTACAGTGCTTTATAAATAATTTTAAAATAATAATTTAAAGTGAATGTATATTTCTTGCAGAACAAGTCCTGCCTCGTTTGTGATGGGCTTAAAATAATAGATGGCCATGTCTTCTAATTTATCTAAGTCTTAAAGTATTAGAAAAGCAAATTCAGCATGTTTACCCATGAAGACCTGTGATCATTTTTTAGAGGGCTGACATGATCATACATCAAAGGGGCTTGACCTTTGGAGCGCTCTGCTGATTCATCAATGTGAATTGATGCCTATTTCCTTTAGAGGGACGTAGCTGGGAATGTGGCATTAAAAATGCAGGAAAAACACAAATCCGAAATATGAAAACATTGGAAGACAAAGCAGTTTTCATTTCCCCCATCTCCCTCGATTAGATATTTGATGTCAAATAATGGCTCTACCGAGCGCAGAATTGCAAACATCAATTCCATTGCTCCTAAAAACCGGTCAGAAAGTGAAGAATCTGGATGTTGCGTTAGGTTTTAAGCCTTCTTCTCCCCATGAATGTATAGTTTTTCCCATCGGGTACAATACAATTGCTGTCTTCACATCCATTATCAGTGTGCAGGCCACAGTGAAAAGAGGATGCAGCTGTATACCCAATCACACCTGTGACCTCCATTCCTCCGTCATCTTCTAGAGACTAGAGTCCTCGCAAGTTACACCTCACTTAGAACCTACTTGCTTACACAATCAGACATAAAAATACAAAAGTGTCACAGCACACTATAACTGAAAAAGTGCGGACTTTCTCATTTTCCCATATAATTATAATATAAATGAATTGGAATATAAATATTGTACTTACATTTCAGGGTATAGTATATAGAGCAGTATAAACAAGTCGTTGTCTGTTTGAAATTTTAGTTGGTACTGATTTCGCTAGTGCTTTTTCTGTAGCCTGTTGTAAAATTAGGCAAATATCTAGATGAGTTGCTGTACCCCCTGGAAGACTTCTGTGTACCCCCAGCGGTACATGTACCCCTCATTGAGAACCACTGGCTTAGGGCACTGGTTTTCAACCAGGGGTCTGCGGCCCCTTGGGGGGCCAGGAGCAGGTTTCAGGGGGTCCACCAAGCATGGCCTGCATTAGACTCGCTAGAGCCCAGGGCAGAAAGCTGAAGCCCCGCAGTGCAGGACTGCAGCCTGGGGCTCCAAGCCCCACCACCTGGGGCTGAAGTCAAAGCCTGAGCAACTTAGCTTTGCAATGCCCCCTATGGCGTGTGCCTAGGGTGACCAGATGTCCCAATTTTATAGGGACAGTCCCGATTTTTGGGTCTTTTTCTTATATAGGCTCCTATTACCCCCCACCCCCTGTCCTGATTTTTCACACTTGCTGTCTGGTCACCTGCCGGGCACCTCCCCTGCTTGCTACCCCTTAATGCCAGCCCTGGCTTTTATATGCAGAAAAGCAGTTGTGGCACAGCTGGGGCATGGAGTTTTTATAGCATGTGTGTGTGGGGGGGAGGTTGAGGGGGCGAGGAAAAGGTTGAGAACCACTGGCTTAGGGCAATTCAGATTTCCTTCTGTAGGTTAGGTTTTGAAGAACATTCTTAAGTAACACTCTTTTTCTGTATGTTGTTGGAGGTAGAATTAGTTTTCATAAAGCAATGACCTGGCTAAGTATAATTTCACTGTTGGATAAGAAAATTGTCCAACCTATGTTTTGGGGGAAGCAGAAGGTATGTTTCAACGATGGACTATTGATTTTTTAAAATGCTATTTTAATAGCTCTAGAATACAAAAGCCATACATACATCTAACCAAATACATGATGAGAATGAATATTACTGTAAGGGCAGTATTGTAAAAGGCTGTTATTTGAACACAGTACCAACAGCGCCGTGTTGTAGTAGATAAGGGGACCTGGGAGGGTGTGGCACCTATACTATGTCATATCAAATGAATACTACAGAGTGGAGAGGGCCAGGACAAATGCATTTGCGGGAATGGCTGACAGCTGGAAAGGTATGGGGAGAGTCTATCCCCTCTCCCAGCTAGCTGCTGGGAGCACTATAATTTATTCCACACTTGTATTCGGCACCAACAAGATGCATAGGCTACTGAGCACCGGTTGCTGCTTCCAAGGACAGATCAAATTTGCAATATGGAATTTTGTTGAGTTTCCAGGGAATGAAGGGAATGGCTTTCCTTCCTGCCCTCTCCTTCTCTGACTCTTCCCATCTGCCCACAGACCAGACTCGTGTAGAATAAGCTGCTGCTGCCAGCTGCTTGGAGAAGTTCGATAGCCGAGGCATGGAGAGGCTGGGGGAAACACATACCTTCTTATTCCTGCAGGGAGGAGACGGTTTACCTTCCCTGATTATGGGAGAGGGGGAAACTTCCCTAGGCTTTCCTTCTATTCTCCACCACTCCTGGTCTAAAAGATCACTGTGTATGTCCATTTTCCTCTTTTGACTCCCCATGCCAGGTGCTCTGAGGTGCTGTTTTGCCGCTTCTCCCCCATGTGGGCTTAGGGGATATATTTCTTTGGCAGCTTTTTACTTCCTTCCCCAAACACACACACAGTGGGAGTGGGCCTGCAAAATGGTGTGCGGAGAAGACTTGACAGGTTCAACTCTGTTTCAGGAATAAAGCATCTTGAGTCCTGAGGCATTATGAACAGAAGACCGACTAACGTGAGTACCTTGCTCTGCCATGCCTGGCTCATATTCCCCAAATCCTGGAGCAAAGTCTGTCTGTTTCCACATCTGCAGTAGATATGGCACTAATGTATATCACAAGAGTTTATAGCAGAAGTGAGATTGTCCTACTGCCACATCGTCAGTCATTTCATTTGAGTTCTTTGGTCTTAAAGACCTCTTTAAAATATGTGGAGAGTTTCAGAAAATGAATTTCTTGTTTTCCCCTATTGTTAAATTACAAAAATCCAAAGGAAAACAGAATACAATCTTGAATGCATTTTATATTCTTTGGGAAGCAAAACTTACCATCCCCAGAAATATCATTTCCTCTTCTCTCATTTTCACTGTTTTCTTCCACTGGGTAAATCCACGCCAAACCTGAATTGTAAACATGACTCTAATGAGATAAATGGGCCTTGTTACTGCTTCCTTTACTGCAGCAGGCACAGGAAAAAACAAATAGAGGAAGGAAAAACAGAATATACAATTGAAGCAATTACTCCTGAACAGGTTGCCATCTGCGGTATTATTTTAAACAAATTCTGAAGTCTGCTCTTCCCTCTCCTCCCAACACATGTTAAAAGCATAATTGTTGAAAGCTTGTTTAGACCTAGGGTCCATTCCTGCTCTCACTGAGCTCTGTGATCCTGCCAACACACCGGAGTATTCGCTATGTGGATCCTAGCTAGCAATGGCCTGCCTCTCAATTCCACACTCATCACTGTCTCAGTTTTTGCAGGGTTGCTTCTTTCTATTTAGGGACAAACTCTCTTTTGCCCCAGAGACAGCAGCACGTTTTACTCCCCAAACACATGAATCACCAATGATACACTTGGATCTTGGGGTGTGGATCAGAGAGGACAGGTTGGGCCACTGAAATCAGAGGACTGCCCTGGCAGGACTGTTCCCTTCAGTTTCGTGTTAGTGCTTTGTCCAATCTTGTTTGGAATGGCCCACGTGATGGGGTTCCAACCAGCTACACAGTTAGGCTAATGCCAATTCAGAATGTTCTGTATCACGAGGTTCATTTCTGTTGATGCTGGTCTTGTGAACAAAACACATTGTCAATTCTTCCAGCACTGTTCTGACAGAAACAAGACTCACCTTTTGAATACGAAGTGCAGCAGCATCCAAATTCGGACCTTTTACTCCCTGAAGTCTGGCTTGTCTTTCTCTCTTTTCTTCCAGGTAGATTTGCTTCATGAATGTAGCCCTTAGGCGACCCTGACGAGCCCTCTCCGAAATCTGGATTACTCTAATGACTTCTTCGAGAGGCAAGGGCTTTATGTATTTCTTCTGTGGTACAGCGAAAAACAAACAGATAAATGTTATCAGAACATGTAGATCCTAAGAGTTATTTTCCTGAATCATTTTGAAAATTCAGATGTGTCTTTTGTTAACTCTGTTAGTTGGAAAATTGAATAATTAATGATATCTTAGTGGAATTCATCCAAGACAAAGGTAGCCCCAACGCAGAGGGGGTGAAACCCACACCTCAGGACCACCTAATTTTAGTTTTGACAGTTTGGCATTTTGATAATTGTATCAGGATCTTAATTTTAACCTGAAAAGCATTTTAAGGAGAAAGTGAACCAGACATGCCACTTCTATAACCATCATACCCTTTGGTAAGGTTGGATTTTGAGGGGGCAAGGAGTTCCTGATGACATAGGGGTAAAAAGTAAGAATCGTTCTTACTGTAGTTTATGTAACAAAGAACGTTATAACTTTTATTTTGTTTGAGAAATAAGCCTAAATATCAGTATGGCTAAATTCAATTAAACTAATAGACCTCTCTAGCTTCCTCTTATTTTTCTCCTAAATTCTGGAGATAGGGGCTTCTGGATATGCCCATGAGGTCTAGAGTTCACCTGCCGGAAAGGCAGAATTTTTTCCCTCTCCTATTATTGACACCCTCAATTGGATACAGTTCTGTATACAAATATTGAGTTGAGCTCACTGTACTAAAGTTTAAACTTGGTTTTCCCTACAAGGAAAGTCTTAAAGGTGCCACAGGACCCTCTGTTGCTTCCTACAAGGAAAAATACACAATCTATGAATACACAAGAATGATATCCATAAAAGTCCCCTGCTGAACTACTGAATTTTTAATGCATGCTCTGTAACAGTTTTTTGTTACATGCATACGGGAATATGGAATCCTGTTAGTAGACAGCTAGAATTTCCTGAATGTATATGGTTCACTATGATGCATATCGAAGTGCAACCTCAGTGGTAGTAGTTGAGCATAGGAAATCAGGAGACAGAATTAACTGGAAGTAGAGCACGGAGCACATATACAAACTGTGTTAATAAACAAGATTATTTATTCAGCTTTACATGCCTCACATGGTGGTAGCATGTCAAGAGAGATCTGCCCTACAGTTACACTAGAGTACAAATGTGGAAAGTCCTCACTGCCATGTAATCTGGCTCCACACTGGGCAGATTCATCCTTAATAGGTCACTCCTGGTGAGGGAGGTGGGCAGAGCATGGGTAGGGAAACACACTTTAAGATGTGCAGGGATTGAGACTAAGGCTCTGCATATGAACATTTTTGTTAGCTCATTATGAAATGCACAGGAGCCTTCGCTCAACTCCTTATTTTCACGGTCCAGATTAGTTCAACCACAAATTATTGGTGTTGATAGTCTCACGTACCTAGTAAGGAAGAATAATTTCCTCCACCGCAGGGTGAAATTCTATGGCCTGGGTATTGTAGGAAGTCAGATTACATTATCATAGTGATCTCTTATGGCCATAAAGTCTATGAATCTAAGTTAGCCAGATATGCATGTACAGTTGTGCACGTAAATAGTTTAGAGGGGAGGAAAGCTTCCAAAGAGTACTGCACATATACAGCAGAGCCAAAGAGTCTTAACTCCATCAGCTCAAAAACAGTTTTCAGCAGACTGTTCAAAGACACTTCTCCTCTCTTAGGATTATCTCGATGACAAATTTCAGTTTTCTTCTCCTAGCTATTGCAGCTGCATTGCTGTACAGAAAAGATCACAGGAATTTTTCAGAATGTTATCAACAACTGAAAATGGGAGGTTAGAATGCTAATACTTTGAGCAGGGGGTTGGACTAGATGACCTCCTGAGGTCCCTTCTAACCCTGATATTCTATGATACTTATGCAATCTTAACTGTGATTTCTATTCTTGTTATGGACCCTGACTCAGCACAGTACTTAAGCATGTACCTAAGTGGAAATCAGTGGGACTACTTGTGCAATCAAAGTTAGCCACATGCTTAAGTACCTTGCTGTACTGGGGCCATAATGCTGCCCTTCTATTACTTTCACGGCATAAAATGAAGCCAGATTATTTTGCAGAGTTACCATTGTTAATATTGCTCAGATTGAAGACATTCATTCCTGGTGGAAATGTACATTATGTCTCTTTCCAGTTGTGATTCACCTGTCAATGCAGTTTGATTAAATATATACGACAAAAATATTTCTCACTTCAATGTTTCATTATAGATTGGTATGGGGAAAATGTATCTGCTTCACTCATATGTTTGAAAACATGTTCAGTTACAAGATAAAAGGGTAGGCAGATGACTGGATCATTACGGTACCCATGGTATACTAACCGGTTTGATGTCTTGCAATCCAGAATTAATTAAAATCTGAGCAAGAATTTTCTCCCTCTCTCTCAGCACCTTCAGCTTCTCCTTAATAAAATACCTTGGGATAGGTATTTCTATGTGTTCCTAGGGGAGAGAAATATTCATGGGACACTGTTAGAGCTGTATTTAAAACCATGTTGCTTATTACCTTAACACCTTTCCTTAGGGTGACCAGACGTCCTGATTTTATCGGGACAGTCCAGATTTTAGGGGACTTGTCCCGCGTCCCGACCTTACATTGGTCGGGACACACTTGTGGAGGACACAAGCCGGTGCTGCCGGCGCCGCTCACCTCTTTTTCCTGGGCCTGGGGCAGCACAGCTGAACTCCTGGCGCTCGCCCACCGGCCGGCAGGAGCCTGCAGAGTGCTGCAGCCCCACTCCCCAGGCACGCACAGAGACGGCGAGTAGGTCTCCACTGTGTGCTGCAGGGCGGGGCTTGTAGGCACCAGCAGCGAGCCCCCCCGCCCCTGCCCCCGCCCCCCTCGACCCGACCCGACCTGCGTGACCTTCGGAGTCAGAGGGATGGGACCTGCCTGCTGGATGCTTCCTGGGAGCCGCTCCAGTTAAGGCTAGCACTGCCTGGGACTCACCTGGCCCCCTGGCAGGTCCCTCTGGCGGGGGAAGGGGGGGCTCTGCGTGCTGCCCCCCTCCCTCCCCGAGGGGGGAGGTGGAGACAGAGCAGAGGCAAGCGAGGGGAGGGGAGGGGGGGGCGTGGAACTGCCGGTGATTTCTCAGTTTTTCCTATGCTCCGGCAGTTTTTGTTGTTGTTTTGTTTTGCTCCACCACCTGCTTTGTTTTTTTTTTGTCTCCCGCCCCCCCCCGCCCCCCCCCCC